AGTAGTAGTAACAGTAGTAGTAGTAAGTAGTATTAGTAACAGTAGTAGTAGAAGTAGTATGTAGTAACAGTAGTGTAGTAGTAGTAGTAACAGTAGTAGTAGTAGTAGTAGTAGTAGTAACGTAGTAGTAGTAGTAGAGTAGTATTTGTATGTAGTAACAGTATAGTAGTAGTAGTAGTATGTTGTAACAGTAGTAGTAGAGTAGTAGTATATGTAGTAACTAGTATATTGTATAGAAAAGTGTATGTAGAAACAGTAGTAGCATAGTAGTAGTATGTAGTAACAGTAGTAGTAGTATGAAAGTAACAGTTAGTAGTTTTGTAGTAACAGTAAAAGTAGTAGTTGTGTAGTATGTAGTAACATAGTAGTAGTATATACTAACAGTAGTAGTAGTAGTTAGTAACAGTAGTAGTAGTATGTAGTAAGTTAGTAGTATGTATTACAGTAGTAAGTATTTGTAGTATGTAGTAACAGAGTAGTAGTAGTAGTAGTATGTAGTAACAGTAGTAGTAGTAAGTAGTATGTAGTAACAGTAGTAGTAGTAGTAGTAGTATGTAGTAACAGTAGTAGTAGTAGTAGTAGTATGTAGTAACAGTAGTAGTATGTAGTAGAGTAGTAGTAGTAACATTAGAGTAGTAGTATGTAGTAACAGTAGTGCAGTATAGTATTTATGTAGTAACAAGTATAGTAGTAGTAACGTAGTAATGTAGTAACCAGTAGTAGTATATAGTAAAGTATGTATATAGTAATGTATTATATAGTACAGTATTAGTAGTATGTATAACAGTAGTATAGTAGTAGTATGTATAACCGAGTTTAGTAGTATATGTAGTAACTAGTAGTAGTGGTAGTAGTAGTATGTAGTAACATAGTAGTAGTAGTTAGTAGTATGTAGTAACAGTAGTAGTATAGTAGTAGAATGTGTAACAGTAGTAGTATTAAGTAGTAGTAGTATTAGTAACATTAGTAGAAAGTAGTAGTAGTATGTAGTAACAGTATAGTGTATGTAGTAACAGTATAGTATTAGTAGTAGAATAGTAGTATGTAGTAACATAGTAGTAGTAGAGTAGTAACGTAGTAAGAAAGTAGTAACATTAGTATAGTAGTAGTAGTGAATGTAGTAACGGGTAGTAGTAGTAGTAGTATGTATTTAAAGTAGTAGTAGTAGTAGTAGTAGGGTAACAGTAGTTATATTATGTGTAACAGTAGTAGAGTGTAGTAAAACAGTATGTATGTTGGGTAAGTAGTTAGTGTAGTATGTAGTAACAGTGCAGTAGTAGTAGTAAGTATAACGTAGTATTTGTAGTAGTAGTAGTATGTAGTAACGTAGTAGTATGTAGTAGCAGTAGTATAGAAATGTAGTAGTAGTTGTAGTATCAGTAGTAGTATTATAACAGTAGTAGTAGTAGTGTATGGTAACAGTAGTAGTATGTAGTAGCAGTAGTAGTAGTATGTAGTAGTAGTATGTAGTAACAGTAGTAGTATGTAGTAACAGTAGTAGTAGTAGTAGTAGTAGTATGTAGTAACAGTAGTAGTATGTAGTAGCATATTTAGTAAGTAGTAGTGTATGTAGTAACGAGTAGATGAGTAACGTAGTAGTATAGTAGTTTAGTAGTAGTATGTAGTAACAGTAGTAGTACGTAGTAGTGGTATGTAGCAATAGATGTAGTAATAGCAGTAGTAAAAACAGCCGTAGAGACTTGCATGATCACTCCGTCCTTGGAGCTAGAGCACCTGTCTCACTTGACTTAACTAGAGTGAAAGTCGCAGAACAACTTTTTTCACCTCCTCCAAAGATAGAGAATCAAGCTTCATTTATTTTACACACTTATACATACTTTAATCTCTTAAATTCTCTCACATTCCTTATAACTAGTTTATTCTCAAATACTTCTCTCATACATATAGTTTTATAGTTCTTAAGTTTATTATAAGTGAAGAGTTCTTTACGTATTTGATCCAAATAACGTACTGCTTTATTAATTAATGACTTGATAAAAACTACACAGATCAAAACATTACCAGTAAAGCTTGATGAATAACACACAGGGGTAATACCTGGGTATCTTTATTCTGGAAACGTTTCGTCAACCAGTGGCTTTATCAGTTCAATACCGAGGTATGTGAAGGTATTGAAACTAGATGCAGTAGAAGACCAGGTAATCAGTCCCTCAACCTAGATAAAGTTGTTCAAGACTACTGTGGTGAGCAATTTCATCATGGCTGAGGGACTAATTACTTTGTCTTCTACTGTCTCCAGTTTTCACCATCATCACATACTACTTCTGTACAGAATTAATGAAGCCATTGGTTGGCGAAACGTCTTCAGAATAAAGACACCTGGGTTTTCCACATGTTTTAGTCATCAAATTGTCGGTGTGGTACAGCACTACAGGTAAGGAATACTTGTTCCGCATCGTGTGGCTTCCCGGCATGTTGTCTTATGGCTGACATCACCCCTTCCTCTCTCCCCCTTCCAGTTCAATTAATATATTTTTATTGTCGCCATTATTTGCATATATTTTAGCCTTAATACCTTTACTCATATATCTGTACATTTATTACTTTTGTTCCACCTCATTCTTCGTCTATCGGTAACCAGATCCCGAGCATCACAACCCGAGTATCTCATCACCCGTGGCAGTCTTTATCTCACTTGTGGTCTGGACGCGACATTCCTCGCATCTTAACTGTGAATGCTATTCATGCTTATTCTTAATTCTTTTTTTACGATGGCTGACTAGGTTTAAATCCTTCAGAGTGCACCAAGTTCATCAGGGTTGCTGGTAACCGCTTCACCACCAGTCAAAAATGTTGTAATCCATAAAATAGAGATGAAAGAAAACACTCAGTGTGTATACACAGTGAGAGACATACACTTCATGGTGTATACACAGTGAGAGACATACACTTCATGGTGTATACACAGTGAGAGACATACACTTAATGGTGTATACACAGTGAGAGACATACACTTAATGGTGTATACACAGTGAGAGACATACACTTAATGGTGTATACACAGTGAGAGACATACACTTAATGGTGTATACACAGTGAGAGACATACACTTAATGGTGTATACACAGTGATAGACATACACTTAATGGTGTATACACAGTGAGAGACATACACTTAATGGTGTATACACAGTGAGAGACATACACTTCATGGTGTATATACAGTGAGAGACATACACTTCATGGTGTATACACACATATATATATATATGTATATATATGTATAATATATATACATATATATACTATATAAATATATATATATATATTATAATATATATATATATATATATATATATATATATATATATATATATATATATATATATATATAATATATATATATATATATATTTAAAAACAGTCACTTCTCACATTATAAAGGAACTATAAAAACAATACATCAAAGGAAGGCATTTAAAGGGTCGAGACCACACCTCACCATCACCTGACTCATAAGAAAGGAGGAACACTGCAGCAGGTCTGTTCGCCCATACTAGGCAGGTCCTTCACGATACATCCCGTAGGAGCTGGAGGAGATTCATAACCTTCGATATAGTTTATCAATATATTCATGTTTGTGTTTTCTATCAATGTATTCTGTCTTTTAATAAAAGTTACATGTAGCATTAAAGTATAGGGGGTGGTAGGAGAAGAAAATATTCAAACAGCTCCGGGGAGAACCCTAAGTTTTCCCTGAGGTACGTACATCTTTATTCCATTCTAATACTTTTTATTTCTTTATTCTATTGTTGTTCATACTTTGATTCATTGTCTATTATTTCTTTGTTTTATTCTATTTCGCGTTTTATTTCACCATTTTCCTAAGTGCATGTTTCAGTATTTCGTATCAGCGAGGACGTTTACACCAGAAATCTCACAAGAGCATGGCTGAGGCTGTAAACAAGGCAGATTGGCTCTTTGCAGCCTCCTCATAAGAGCATGGCTGTGAGGCTGTAAACAAGGCAGAGTGGCTCTTTGCAGTCTCCTCACAAGAGCATGGCTGTGAGGCTGTAAACAAGGCAGAGTGGCTCTTTGTAGTCTCCTCACAAGAGCATGGCTGTGAGGCTGTAAACAAAACAGATTGGTTTTTTGCAGTCTCCTCACAAGAGCATGGCTGTGAGGCTGTAAACAAGGCAGATTGGTTCTTTGCAGTCTTCTCACAAGAGCATGACTGTGAGGCTGTAAACAAGGCAGATTGGTTCTTTGCAGTCTTCTCACAAGAGCATGGCTGTGAGGTTGCGAACGAGGCATATTGATTATTTGCAGTCTCCTCACTAGAGCGTAGCTACAATGCTGTAAATGAGGAAGAATTATGCTTTGCGTGGCTACGATGCTGTAAATGAAGCTGAATGTTGTCTAGCAGTACGGAAGTTGAAGTTTTTTTTTCTGAAATGTTAAACCTGTTTGGGTCATCCAGGCAAATGATTAGCAGGCGCTCGTCTTATTACTTTTCGTCAGACAGATATGCTGTCTACCCAGGGTGAGACAGTTAAAACAATGTATATGTAACTCACATGTTTACGTATGTGCTTTGACGAGTGTCTTTTGAGAAGCCAGGCTACGGGAGTTGTGTTTTTTTCCCTCTCAGTTAGAGGGCGGCGGATCAAGTCTCCACCTCTCCTTGTCCTGAATGGCTGGACGGGTTTAGCATTTCATATACATATGTTAATATATGAAAACGAGTGTCTCCTTCTTCCCCTAGATGGTTCTACAGACTGAGACATTCAAAAGTTGGTAACATATCTCAGCTCACTGCGAAGCTCATCATGGTAATTTAAGACTATGCAACAGCCCAGGATGTCACCCACATCAGTCGGTTAATACCCAGGTACTTATTAACTATTAGGTAAATATGGGCATCATGTGCGAGGAGATATACACATTCGTCTCTTCCTTCCTGGGAATCGAGTACAAGTTTCCTTGATTTTCAGCTGAGCATTCTACTGCTGTGCTCTATATAACACCATTGTGTTTCAGGGTTACGTGTCGTGTGGTATCGGAGTGCACATGGTGGGATATGTGATCATGTGTTTCCATGTGTGTGACTCTCTCTGCTGCATGGGGCTCAGTTCTCTGGTGAAGGTGGTGGGGCGGGTGCCTGTTTTCACCCTGGGTTTCCTCATCCACTTGGCCCTCATCGTGGCACTCGTGTACTGGAGGCCACTCCCGGATGACTTCGCGTGGTTCTTCGTCATTGTCAGCCTCTGGGGAGTGAGTGACGCTGTCTGGCAGACACAGATCAATGGTGAGATCAAAGGAAATTCAAACTTTCTAGCTTTTTATTTTACCCTCAACGATTAAAAAAATATATGTTTGGAAAATAATATTTATTTAATAAAAGTAGAAGCAACCATAGGAGACTAATATTAAGATTTTTTGCAAAATATCAGGTATTTTAATTTCATCTATTAAATTCCTTGACATATCATTTCGAGTACTGTACTGCCTGGTTAATAATGTCTTGTTTAATTCCACTTTATGATGATGCTTAAATCCCTTTATAATGTCTTGTATAATAGAAAAAATTGACTTATTACAATATATGAACCTTATCACATTACAACCTCCATCCTTTCTGCAACCTGAGAGGCCAGAAACCGAGCCGCAGTTAGTGAACAGAGGCTCGAGCCCCTCAAATTTAGTGCTTCAAATAACGTATATACAAACTTGCATCCTACAGCACTGTATGGTGTGATCTTCCCTCGGCCAGTGTGAGGCAGCTTTCAGTAACTACCGCTTGTGGGAGTCTGTTGGCTTTTTCATCTCATACGCCTGCAGCACCGTCATTTGCGTTGATGCCAAGATCACCATCCTCATCATCTTCCTGGTGGTGGGCATGACTGGATACTATGCCATTGAGATCATACAAAAGATGGGAGGCCCGAAGAAGGACAAGGACGGTAGCGTCATACCTCTAGATCAACTCATAGTCAGAGAGTTATAAGTGATTCTGAGATTTTTGCGTTGGTGTCGGTTGTGGAAGTACAGATAAAGGGATTGTATCTTGTTCACAGTAAGTTGATCAAGGCACAGTTACAAAAAAGTGAGTTAAGACCCACTGTGTGGAATGCTCGGTATACGTTAAACAGGGTGAATAAAACACCCGTAAGAGTGAGGAATGATGGGTACATGCAAATCGATAATTTTCACTCTCACGGGTGTTTTATTCACTCTGTTTAACGTATACCGAGCATTCCATGTTGAGAAATGGGTTACACATTCCACACAGTGGGTCTCAACGCACTTTTTTGTAATTCTGAATTGACCGACCAACTTCATGAATACTCATCATTCCTTACCCTTGTAAGAATATATATATATGTCGTGCCGAATATGTAAAACTGGTCAATTAGCAAGAACTCATTTAAAATTAAGTCCTTTCTAAAATTTTCTCTTATATGTTTAAAGATATATTTTTTTCATTAATGTTGATGTAAAAATTTATAATTTTGCACCAAAAGGAACTTAGAAAACTTACCTAACCTTATTGTAACAAACGCAATTTATTTTAGCCTAACCCAACTAAATATATTTTAGATTGTTGTTACAGTAATTTAATTCCAAAACAACACAGTGAAATTATATTTTTTTCGTTAGGTCAAAATGATTTTGGCGAAATATTGCATACACAAATTTTCATTTGTCCTATATGGCAAGATGAGCGTTGCTATTTAAGCCAAGATCGCAAGTTCTGCCTATTCGGCACGACATATATATATATATATATATAAATATATATATAATATATATATATATATAATATACATATATATAATATATATATATATATATATATATATATATATATTATACTATATATATATATATTATATATATATATATATATATATATATATATATATATATATATATTATATATATATATATATATATATATGTCGTGCCGAATAGCAGAACTTGCGATCTTGGCTTAAATAGCAACGCTCATCTTGCCATATAGGACAAGTGAAAATTTGTGTATGCAATAATTTCGCCAAAATCATTCTGAGCCTAACGAAAAAAATGTATTTCACTGGGTTGGTTTAGTATTAAATTATTGTAAACAAATCTAAAATATATTTAGTTGGGTTAGGCTAAAATAAATTGCGCTTGTTGGGTAAGTTTTCTAAGATTCTTTTGGTGCAAAATTGTGAATTTTTACAGTAGCATCAATGAAAATAATATATCTTTAAACGTATAAGAGAAAATTTCAGAAAGAACTTAATTTTAAATGAGTTCTTGCTAATTGACCAGTTTTACATATTCGGCACGACATATATATATATATATATATATATATATATATATATATATATATATATATATATATATATATATATATATATATATATATATAATTATATATATATATATAATATATTATATATATAATATATATATATATATATATATTATATATATATATATGTATATATATATATGTATATATATATATATATATATTATATATATATATATATAATATATATATATATATATATATATAAATTATATAATATATATATTATATATATATATATATATATATATATATATATATATATATATATATATAACAAGTCGGGCCGTCTCCCACCGAGGTAGGGTGACCCAAAAAGAAAGAAAATCCCCCAAAAGAAAATACTTTCATCATCATTCAACACTTTCACCTCACTCACACATAATCACTGTTTTTGCAGAGGTGCTCAGAATACAACAGTTTAGAAGCATATACGTATAAAGATACACAACATATCCCTCCAAACTGCCAATATCCCGAACCCCTCCTTTAGAGTGCAGGCATTGTACTTCCGATTTCCAGGACTCAAGTCCGGCTATATAAAAATAACCAGTTTCCCTGAATCCCTTCCCTGCTCACACTCCAACAGATCGTCAGGTCCCAAATACCATTCGTCTCCATTGACTCCTACCGAACACGCTCATGCACGCCTGCTGGAAGTCCAAGCCCCTCGCCCACAAAACCTCCCTTACCCTTTCCTTCCAACCTTTTCGAGGACGACCCCTACCCCGCCTTCCTTCTCCTACAGATTTAAACGCTCTCCATGTCACTCTACTTTGATCCATTCTCTCTAAATGACCAAACCACCTCAGCAACCCCACTTCAGCCCTCTTACTAATACTTTTATTAACTCCACACATCCTAATTTCCACACTCCGAATTTTCTGCATAATGTTTACACCACATATATTTCCCTTAGACAGGACATCTCCACTGCCTCCAACCGCCTCCTTGCTGCTGTATTCACAACCCAAGCTTCACACCCATATAAGAGTGTTGGTACTACTATACTTTCATACATTCCCTTCTTTGCCTCCAAATAACTTTTTTATGCCTCCCGTTACCTGAAAACCACTCATTTTTTTTCCCTTTTCATCAATTCTATAATTAACCCACCCTTTCAAAATCCATCCGCCGCCCCTCAACTCCCCAAGATCTGAAAACATTCATTTCCCTACCTTCTCCCTAATTTTTGATATCCAATTTTTCTTTTCAAAATCATTTGATACCCCGTCACCTTTACTCTTTTCTATTTTTCACTTAAACTTTCTACCTTTACACGCCCCAAACTCATCCACTAACCTTTGCAATTTTTTTTTAAGATCTCCCATAACACAGTATCATCAAAAAAAGTAACTTTGTAAATTCCCCTTTTTGTATTTGATTCCCCAAAATTTAAAAATCCCACCCCTCTCCCGAACACCCTAGCTTTTACTTCTATAAACCCCATCTAAAAATATATTAAACAACCATGGGACATTACACACCCCAAAGGTCAAATCTTGCTGTTCATTTTTCCCCCTCACAACCGGGGTAGTGTCCTTAACATTTGGTGCATATTTTTTCCAGCACCACATCCAACATTTTGGGCTCTCCTGTTTCGGGACCCCCATGTGGCTCCAGGTTTTCCCAGTAAATACCCATGGTTGAAATTCCCCCCAAAACCAGCAATTTTTGCTTACGGAGTGAGCTCTCTTGCCACCTCAGCAAGGGGCCCCCACCTTTGCTCGTTGCTTCTTCATTTTCCTCTCTTGGCCTCCTCATTCTGTGGTGGATTATACATCACTCAATGACCCCTTGTGCCCCCTTTCCAAAATATGTACCCTTCCCCTCTTTTTCCTCCTTTTCCCCTTTCCCCCTTTTTTTTCCCCCCCTTTTACCCCCCTCCCTTTTTTTTTCCCCGTCTGGGTTATGGGGAAATTATCTTTATTTTCCTGGGTTTTTTTCTTTAAACCAACCCCCAAATTTTTAAAACCCCCCTTTTTTTCCCCCTTACCTCCCATTTGGTTTCCAAAAATTCTTTTTAATTTTTGGGGCCCGGGGAAAACTGGGGTTAAGGAAGCCCCCCGGGGGCCTGTTTTGGGGGGGGGGGAAAACCCCCCCCTATTGCTTGGGGGGGTGGCCGGGGGGGAAAAGGGGGGGGGTGTTTTGGTTTTTAGCTTTTCCTTTTGGGGGGTCGTGGGGAGCCCTTTTCATTTCTGGGGGTTGGGTTGGGTTTCGTTCCTGGTTTTGCCCCCTTTTTTTTTTTATTTTTTTTTTTGGGTTAAAAATCCCTTTTTTTTTGGGGGTTTTCGTCCCTTTTCAACCTGTCCCCTTTTTTTTTCCCGTCTTTCTCTAAAAACCCTTTTCTCCTTTTTTTAACCATTTCTTTTTTTCCCCCGTTCTCCTTGCCCCTGGGTCTTTCCCCCCCCTTTCCCTTTTGTCCTTCCAAACCCTTTTTTCCCTCTTCTTTCCTCTTTTTTCCCCTTCTTTTTCCCCCCCCTCCTATTTCCCCTTTCCCCCCCCCCTTCTCCCTTCATCCTCTTTTTTTTTCCTTTTTTTTCCTCCCTTTCCCTTCCTTTTTTTTTGGTTGGGGTTTGTGTTGGTTTTTTTTTTTTGTGCTTCCCCAATTTTTGGGGGCAACTCAGCTCCTGGCCCCGCCTCTTCACTGAACGCTACTAGGTCCTTTCCCTGCTCCATGAGCTTTATCATACCTCGTCTTAAAGCTATGTATGATTCCTGCCTCCACTACATCGCTCGTCAGACTGTTTCACTTCCTGACCACTCTGTAACTGAAGAACTGCTTCCTAACATCCCTGTGACTCAACTGAGTCTTCAGCTTCCAAGAGTGACCCCTTGTTTCCGTGTCCCCTCTCTGGAACAACTTGTCTCTGTCCACCTTGTCTATTCCACGCAGTATTTTGTATGTCGTTATCATGTCTCCCCTTATCCCTCCTGTTCTCAAGTGTCGTCAGGCCGATTTCCCTCAACCTTTCTTCATAAGACATTCCCCTTAGCTCTGGAACTAACCTTGTCGCAAACCTTTGGACTTTCTCTAATTTCTTAACGTGCTTGATCCGGTGCGGGTTCCAAACTGGTGCTGCATACTCCAGTATGGGCCTGACGTACACGGTGTACAGTGTCTTGAAAGATTCCTTACTTAGGTGTCGGAATGCTAATCTCAAGTTTGCCAGGCGCCCATATGCTGCATAAGTTGTCTGGTTGAAGTGTGCTTCTGGAGAAGTGTTCGGTGTTACACTCACGCCAAGATCTTTCTCCTTGAGCGAGACTTAAGAAATCGTAATGACACGATTGCAAATAAACCATACCCCCGGCCGGGATTGAACCCGCGGTCATAGAGTCTCAAAACTCCAGCCCGTCGCGCTAGCCACTAGACCAGCTAGCCACAATAAGATTCATCCAACTAGGTATATTTCTACACCATAGGAAAGTTAGCACAGGCACCTCTGTGACCACAATGCAAGTTTTTACAGACGAATCTCCAGCTAGCGTGGCCGTGACGAACTCTAGCTCAAGTCCCTTCACTGCCGTCAACATGACTTAAGAAATCGTAAGACACGATTGCAAATAAACCATAACCCCCGGCCGGATTGAACCCGCGGTCATAGAGTCTCAAAACTCCAGCCCGTCGCGCTAGCCACTAG